ATAGAGATCCTACTGTTACTGGGAATATTTTTTAAGCAGGTGCAGCCTCTTTTTTCTCTACTGTGAAACACTGGATGGACCCCATGTGGTCAATTTGGAATCATGCCAACTTTAAAACATAATTCTCTAAGAAAAACTTCCCCAGCTTTCTACCCTTGAATGAACTAGGATATGCAACACTTTTTTTCATTCAAAGGTAACTCATATGCCTGCAAAGATAATTCAATAGGCAGCACTATTTTAGAAAACAAAATGGTACTTCACACATGACACTGACCAACCAGATGTACCCGAATAGCAGCTGCATGGCTGGAAGGAGCCATTAACCTCTGAAGTGCTCCCCAAAGGTCAGCGAGGGCTTGGTCATCTGACTCAGTCTTTGGCCCCACCCTTCTTTCCTGCTGTCTTGTAGGCTGATTTCCAACATCTATATTTAGAAGCATGCCAACAGTCTTACCATTTTCTCTCTTCCTCAAGTCAATGGCTTTGATTCCACTGTAGAAACTCATCCGATGGCCACATCCTGGACTCTGTCATTCCCCAGAATTGTCTTACCTCTGAAATCCCAATGAATTCCAGTACATCCCCTTTGCTCATCACCTCCAATTCTTCCGGCTCCCTCGTTCCTTCACTACTGCCACGCTTGCTGCTCTTTTTCTCTCAACATTTTCATTTCCTTGGCCCTTCAACTTCCTGACTTTGCTAGTCGCTGCCTGAACTAATTCTTTTCCTTACTCAGCCTGAGTGTGTTCAGTGGATTCTCCACCATTATTCTCAACTTACTTGTCCCCTGTCCTAAAGGCTGCAAATAGCCAGCCTTGGACCAGTTTTCTAACCTACTTTCTCTGCAACTTGTCCTCTATTTTGGTTCTTTGGGAGAAAGATGGGGAAGCTTTTAAAAGCTTTCACTGAAATTGGGATGAGCCATAATAAACACCCAGCATAGGAGGCGGAGTTCTGAAGAAGTACCATGCAGTTCTCTTCCACTTCTCTCCTTGGAAATGATTTCACAGCTTTCTAATACTCTGTATTTCCTTACTTAAATCTAGAGGTATGGTGTGATAACTTGTACTCCCTTTAATCACCCTATAATGCTGTCCCACTTCATGCAAATATGAATTAAGCAAATACAAGAGACCATAATATAAAAATTAATAGTCTCAATTCATGCACAAAATTTGAAATAATATTAATCCAAATAGTTTAAGATTTCATCCATAATTGTATAATTGCAAAGGTGGTAGACTGAGTGAATGGTGAACTATATGCTAAGGCCAAATGATGAAGCATCTAGTAAGTAAAAAAAATGTTCTGCTTCATTTGTCAGTATTTTATGAAGTATATACACTTGTTTATGTACATGATAACTTCAGTCACTATTCTGCTGTTATTTAGCTATCCACTTATAATTTAAGATAATTTTTGTATCCTACAACAGTGTCATGCAAGCATTCATTAAATGGGGGTGCTAGAAAAAGTTCCAGGAACATGTCTCAAAATCAATTACATTAGTATGGAAGTTGGAAGTGAATGAACAAAACTCTAGGGGCCGGCCGAGTGGCGCGATGGTTAAGAACTGGTTTGGGACGCCAGAGGGCCCAGGTTCGGATCCCACATATGAGGGCCAGTGACATTGCCCTCCACAGCTAAGATGCTGAACAGCAGCTCGACCTGGAACTGTGCTGCTGTGAGTCGCCGGCAATGGCGTAGGCTGCAGCCCCTGTGGCAGTAGGTTGCCATAGGCTACCGTGTGTAGCCAGCAGCCACCGTGTGTAGCCAGCAGCCACCGTGTGTAGCCAGCAGCCACCGTGTGTAGCCAGCAGCCACCGTAAGCAGCCAGCAGCCACAGTGAGCGGCCGACCAGAAGCCGGCAACTGATCTGCCTCGCCCAATGAAGAGCGCAATGATGGTGCCAACTTGGGCCAGTGAAGCAACGTCCTCCACAACTAGACTGAAGAACAAAAAATGACAGCAACTTGCCTGTTCCCCTTCCCCGAGTTCCCCAGCACTGTTCCCATCCCCCAATTCCTCAATAAAAATATTTTTAAAAAAACAACCAACAAAAAAACCAACAAAAACTCTAAACAAAGCCAAACAACTGCCATGGCTATGCTGTTAATATGGAAACAAGCAATGAAGAAATATTAGAAATAATGCTGAAAAAATTAAAACCATAAATATATAACACAGTAACTAAAGATTTATGCACTATGAGAATACATCCCACATTCTTTATATTTCTGCCTAGGGGGAAATTAGTCCTTCAAATCTTTGTGAGTTTTTAATTATGTGTCTTCTACTTCCTTTTGTTTAGAGATGGAGCCAAATTCCATATATATATATATACATAAAATGGGCCTGAATCATTTAAATATAATAAGTTGTTTCTTGCGGTTTTTCTTATTATAAATGATCATGCTAAAAAGTGTAAAGATGAAGAAAATCACCTACAATTTCACAATTCAATGACCAACATTACTAGCATTTTGACAGTTTTTTCAGTATTTTTCTCTACATTTTTATATAATTTAGATAAAATATGCATTCAATTTTGTATCCTAATGTTTTTCTTAACCTTTAGTGAAGATTTATTAAGACACTATCTATGGATGTTACAAAAGATACATATAGTTCATCATATTATTTAATTAGTACTATTTCTAATAGTAAAATATTAGGTACTTTCCAAGTTTTGCCATTATAAATAATCCAATGATGAGTATCTTTGGACATAAATTTTATTCCTAGTTTAAGTTATTTTTGGGGGGGGGAAATTTCTTAGAAGGAGAATTACTAGATCAAATAGTATCTTGATACATACTGCCAAATTCCTTTCCAGAAAAAGTAAAACAATTAACAATTTGCCTGACAACAGGGAAAAGAACCAATTTCAAGGGGGGTTGGAGGGTTGAGTGTGCAAGGTAAAGGGATTAAGAAGTACAAACTGGTAGTTACAAAATAGTCACAGGGATGTAAAGTACACCATAGGAAATATAGTCAATAATGCTATAATAACTTTGTATGGTGCCAGGTGGGTACTAGACTTATTGGTGGGAATCACTCATAAATTATATAAATATCTTAACCACTATGCTGTCTACCTGAAACTAATATAATATTGAATGTCAACTGTAATTAAAAATTAAAAATTAAAAAAATATAAATATATATATATATGTATATACACACATATATATAATTTCACCCTATCTTCACCCCACTGAGTATAAAATTTATAAATTTAATTTATAATTAATTTAGTTTTCGAGTCCTATAAAATGGTAGTTATCCCTTTTATTTGAGATTTCTGTCCCAGTTATCTCTTGGATATATACCCAAAATAAATAAATAAATAAATAAATAAATAAATAAATAAATAAATAAATAAAGGCTACAAACAACAATTGATTATCTTCTTGGAACTCTCATGGGTTGTAGTCAGATGGCAGCTAGAGTTGGAGTCCAGGCTCACATAGGCTGGATGTCCAAGATGTCTTCCTCGATCATAAGTCAAGTTCAGTAGTGTTTCTTTTCATGGCCTCTCCCTCTAGCACAATCACCTGGATTTCTTACATGGTGGCTCAGAGCTCTAAGAGTTGGAAGCAGTCTTCTTAAAAGCTAAGCCTATATCTGGCCAAAGGTCACTTTTGCCGTATTCTATTGATCAAATCGAGGACCTGACAGCCCAGATTCAAAAGGTGGAGAGGGCCGGCAGAGTGGCACGTTGGTTAGGAGTTGGCTTGGGACACCAGCTCTGAGCAGCAGGGCCCTGGTTCAGATCCCACATGTGAGGGCCAGTGATGCTGCACCCTCTACAGCTAAGATGGTGAACAACAGCTCGACCTGGAGCTGGGCTGCCGTGAGTCGCCGGCATCGGTGTGGGCTGCAGTGGGGCTGGCCGGCAGCAGCTGTGAGCTTTGGTAAGCTGCTGTGAGCCACTGTGAGCAGCCATCCAATGGTGGGCGAGCAACTGCCTCACCTGGGAGGATTGCAATGATAATACCAACATGGGCCAGTGAAGCAACATCCTCCACAACTATACTGAAGAACAAAAGGACAGCAACTTGTCTGTTCCCCTTCCCCGATTCCCCAATAAAATCTTTAAAAAAAAAGTTGGAGAAACATTCAAATCTTGCTGGGAAAGTAGCCTGTGCAAACAGGAAGGTCTGCCATCTTTGGAGACAAACTACTATATCTTCCCTGTTGATCTTTATTGATAGACTTTTCCTCATGAAAGTATTTTAAATCTGTGTTGCTATAGCAATTTGTATACTTTTTCTTTTATTCTTTTATAGTTTACTAACCAGTTAGTGCTGATATGAAGGAAAGATACTCTTTGATATGCTTATTTTGTATTTAACCACTTGACTTATTCATGCTAATTCCTTCTCAGTTTAATAACTTGGTTCTCCTATAAAGATAATCATAATCATACTATCTGAAAATAAAGATAAATATTTTCTTCTCTTGTTCAATAATCAAATCTCTTATCTATTGCACTGGTTAAGTTTTCTAGAATAAGCCTAATAGGTAGGATGCAAACTCGTTTTGTTCCTGTTGTTTAATTTTTTAAGTAAAAGTATATTAAAGTTGTCAAATGGACATGTTTTATCAACATACACATTTCCCAGAGCTAAATTAAGCCACTGACTTTTATGTGTCAATGCAATACAAATGAATAGAAAAGTAAGTTCTTATTCCAGATAAGTTGTATTCAGGGACAGGGATAATAAAACAAAGTGAGGGAGAAAGTAACTAACATATTTCTGACACTGCAATATTTTCTCCCTGAAATCTATAAACATTCAAAAATAAACCATAACCATAAAACATTCCATTGACTCCCACAAATAGCTAATATTGCTGAATAAATATAAAACATCATAAATTTCAACAATTTGTCCCTGCTTCCCAAGCTTGACTCTTTATTAGATGTAAAGAATCATTTTAAGTACATAAACAAGTATTAGAATATGGCTTTTCAGCCCTCTTATACTTACAAGTGGCTGATAATCATATGGTGGAGTGTAGTATTCAGCATATGTTGTCAATTCATACCTAAGAGGGATGGATAAGTTGATAGTTGAGAAAAGAATGACTTCCAAAGGAAAGATACTTTACAATTTTAGTGGTATATATTTTACATGAAATAAAAACATTTTGAGGAGTGGCCCACATAAAAATGTAAAAGCCCACCAGTGTCCCAGGCTTTGTCTACAATGCTAACCCCTGCCAGCAGCATTCTCTTCCTTCATTACTTCCCATTCAGCTCCACCTGCTAGTCTCCTGTGCTAAAGATATGCCACCAATCCCAAGTTCCTGAGCTCAGGTCCATACCAGACTTTTGCAGTTCTCTTTACCACCCACTTTCTGCCTCTCAAACCTATTTGATCCAAAGCCCCATGTTCTCTCCTAGACGACAACTGAAAAGATAATAGAAAACAACCAGGAAGACTGAGATAACAGAGCTTCCCCAACCTGCATTCCGTTAAACACATAGAAATGCAGGGGGAAATACAGCCTACCTTCCCCCAAGTGTCCAGGCACAGCCAAGATCAAAAGGGAAGCCCTGAGGTGCTAGAAGAGTGTACTCATTAGAATGGGAAGCCATACGCACGTGTCCCATGTACAGGGACTGGAGTTTGAACCTCATATCAAGGGCAGAAGACATGTTCTTGAGTGGGTTCACAGAAGGCAAAGAGCGAAAGTCCTACTTACAACTAGGAGTCGGTACTGTATCTCCACATGAAAGAACCCCCTCCACCCCACCCCACCCCCCAAAAAATCCTCCAGTTTCCAGTCCAGGGAAACTTGCAAGGAGGTTTCTCTCTGTTTGGAACTCAGGGTGGGGGAACAATTATTCTCCTATGAAAAATTAAAGACCTACTTCTGTTCCTGGCAATATCATGGGACTAGATGGTCAAAGAAACTCCTCTCAGAATTGCACACCTAAAAATATTGGATACAAGGAAATTTAAACCTTTTAACGATGGCTAGTGGGCGTGTAAAAGAATTCCAAAATAACAAGAAAGTCCAACTCAGCATGGTTATTGGGTACAGCTGCTAATATGTACCTGGTGGTAACGAACAATTCCTGACAGGCTTTCAAGGTGTGGTTTCCAGAGTAGCAGCATTAGCGCTAACTGGGAACTTGTTAGAAACACAAGTCCAGTCATGTGCCTCGTAATGGAGTTTCAGTCTATAATGGACCAAATATGCGACAGTGGTCCTGTGAGAGTATAATGGAGCTGAAACACTCCTATCACCTAATGTCGTAGCACATGTATTACTCACATGCTTATGGGGATGCTGGTATAAACAAACGTATGCACTGCTGGCTGTACACAAGTAGAGCACATACAATTACATACAGTGCATAATACTTGATAATGATAATAAATGACTATGCTACTGGTTTCTGCATGAGTCCATGACAATACTATACTTTTTATCACTATTTTAGAGTGTACCCTTTCTACTAAAAAAAAAAAAGTTTGCTGTATAACAGTATGCTGTGTTAATGCTGGCAACACACTCATATATATCTCATGTTTACCATGTCTTTTGATTGTATCATTTTCTCTTGTGCTTGATTTAACCTCATGCTGTTTTGTACAGTAACAGGCTTGCACTCTAGGCCTATAACCTAGGAGCAACAGGCTATATACACCATACAGCCCAAGTGTGTAATAGGCTCTGCCATCTAGGTTTGTGTAAGTACACTCTACCATGTTCAAACAATGACGAAATTGCCTAATGATGCATTTCTCAGAGCATACCCCTGTCATTAAGCAGCACATGACTATACTTGGGACCCACCCCAGATCTCCTGAATTAGCAACTCCAAGGGTGGGGCCCAGCAATCTGTGTTTTAAGAAGCCCTTTAGGTGATTTTGATGAATGCTCAAGTTTGAGTACTGGCAAGTAAAAAACCAAAAATTAGAAGTATAACTTTCAAACTAGCAAAAAGGATTTTTAAAAAAAGACCAAGCTAATAGAAAGCAGGAAGGGAGAATAAAAGGGAGAGTAAAGTCCTTTCTGCTCACTCGACAAATTAAAATCATAAAAATAAAATTAAATATCTTTGCAATTGCAATGAAAGTAAAGGGTTTAAACCCATTAGTGAAAGTATTTTCTCAGACTTAAATTGAACATCAAATTTTATTATGTAGTCCAACTCTGTGCTTTTATAACTAAAATAAAATTATTTTCAAATAAAGTTAGAAAAGAATATAAAAAGATATATCCCACAAATATTAACCAAAAGCAAGTTAGTGTTCTTATATCATATGTAATTGACTTTGAGTAAAAAATTATTAGTTATAAAGATTTACTAATCATTACCTACTGGTTAAAGGAAAAAGTCACCAAGACAATATAAAAATCCTAAGCCAATAAACCAAAGAACACATAGAATTTTAAGGCAAAAAACAACAGAATCATAAAGATAAAATGACAATTCCACTGTCATAGGGGAAAATTGTAAAACATTCCCAGGTCCTTGGGTTCCTTAAATCCAAATTTCTACATACATCCTCCAAAACTATACAGAGCAACAGCAAAGTAAATAAAAATCACACAGTTAGCCCATGTGTAGAGATTAACAGAGGCTAGTGAAGACTACAAACTTCGGTTTACATGTAGTTTGGAGAACAATCGGTAGAGGCCATATCCGGAGCCCAGGCTGGAGCAAAACTGGGCAGAGATTACATGGCACAGAGGAGAGAGTGGCAAGTCCCTAGTGGAGATGGAACACAGGAGACATGGACCCAGAAGGGACCGTCCTTCCCTGACAGGGAAAAGCCAACAACAAGTCTGAGACTAGAGGATTTGAACATTGGCTTTCCAAGAAAGAGGCTTGGAAGTTATGCAAGACCACAATGGCGGTCTTGGTAAGTGGGGAAGGGGTCAATTTGAAAAGTAAAGAAAAAAGTTAGAGATCAAGCCCAGAACTTAAGGGTCCTAGAACCACCACTTCTCTTAAAGATGTCATTAATGAAATCAAGTCCACTTCACTGTTCTAACTGAAGAGGGCACTCTTGAATTAATATACTGAGGAAATTTGCCCAACTTCTCATCCCCGCTCCATAGAATGACCTGATTGCTGCTAATTCAACATACTTCAAATGTACAGAAAAGGGCAACATTACTATGAAAAGAAAACAGTAAATAAGAATCAAAACTAAGCTGACGAAAATCCTCCCCAGAAACATTCCTGAACAGTCAGAGAAGTCCTCTATCAGCATTTCTATTCAACAATGTGCTGGAGAGTCTAGCAAACGCAGTGAAACAAGAAAAAGAAGCATAAGGATAATAATTGGAATGGGAGAAACAAAATTTTCATCTTCCAAAGATAAGACTGCCTACATTAAAAAATCCAAATGAATCTTGGAATCATAACAACAGGCAAGTTTCAAGAAGGTTGTTGGATACAAGATCAACATACAAAAACAGTATACCCATATACCAGCAAAAAGAAATTAGAAAGCATAATTAAAGTGTACAAATTCCATTTATAACTGCAACAAAAATCTCTAAGGTTCCTACATGAATGCATCTATTAGAAGATTTATGGGACACTTATGGGGAAAATTATAAAATTTGTTGAAGGACATAAAATAACTCCTTTGTTTATAGACATATGACTCAATAAAGGCTATATATGTTATATATACACACATATATATAATTTCTAAAAAGTACAGTTTCATATTATATATATATATATATATATATATATATATATATGTCTTGGTTAAATTATAATTTAAAACTTCTATTGACTAAAAGACAGCAATAAAGCAAGTTATAAGAGAAGCCATAGACTAGAAGAAGATATCATAAAATTAATCAAAACAAGATTAGTACCCAGAGTTAAACATTCTTACAAATCAATAAAAAATACAATCCCATAGAAGAATGGACAAAGCCTATAAACAGTCAATTCACAGTAGAAAAAATCAGATGGCTAATAAATATTTTAAGATAAATTCAGGCTTATTCAGTCTTAAATTTAGTAATAGTGAAGTGCAAAGGAAAATAACAAGGAGGTACCATTTTATATCCATTATTCATAAGGATATGAAAGAATAGCTATATTCATACACTACTGGTGGCAATATCTTACAAAATTGAAGGTGCATATATTTTAATACCCAGCAATTCTATTTCTGAGTATAAAGAAACCCTGGCATATATACCCAAGGACACATGTATAAGGATACTCAATGCAACCTTAGGTGTAACAGTGAATATTTAGAAGCTAATGTCCATCAATAGGGTGGATATGTTAGATGGCTTTGTGAGTCATGATAAATCATTCTCTAAAAAATATAAAGCAAACTTGATAGAAAAAAAATTATATTATAATTGGGTAATGAGTAAATTGATGGGTGTTTGAACAGTATTTATATGGAAATATTCAAATATCTCAAAATCTTAATACATTTAAATGTTAAAAGATGACAGTGAACTTGTTTCCCTACCTTATTTTCATCCAAAGTTATGATTCAAATGGTAAGATTATAAATCAAATATCAGTGTTGCTTTGGGCAGGCCGACCTTGCAAAGCAGTGTTGGGCACCTCTCTATTCACTTAAAGCAGCAGAAACCCATTCCACCCACGTTCAGGCCCTTCTCCCTCTCGTTATTATCACCTTCTAGGAGAGTCTGATACAAGGTAAGCACTGAAAAACATTTACTGAATGAATAAAGCAATAAAAATAAAATTAGATATAAAGAGATATCGATTTACAATGAGAACTTAAAGTACATACAGGTGGAAATTAAAATATTCAGTTGTCTTTTTGAAAAGGCAATGCGGCTCAACAAAATGGGAACTTTTATAAGACTGAATAATGACCTTCAGTTGCTTACAAACTTTTTGGGACTGCCTCCGCCTGCCACCACTTTTTTGAATCTGAAGAACAGGGCAACAATCTTTACGTGATATATTCAGTCAAATTTGAAATAGGATGGTCTTTTGAGAATAAAAATATAGAAAATCAACATAAATCTTCCTCTTAGATATCAGCTTGAGGCTGTAGCTGAATAAAGAA